CGCATTTTTAGGAAAGAGCTCAGGTGCTTCTAATGAAAACTGACTGAGGCTCCCAACATAAAAAACAGTGTCGTGAGAGACTGCCTATCCAATCTCCCGCTTTACAGATGAGAAAGATAAGGGCAAGAAAATCTAGAACCTCTAGCCCCACTGGTCTTATATAGTTAGGCAAATGCTATGAAGGTAGTGTCACCAGATCATCTAGTTTCACTGAAGCAAAACCAGAAATCCGGGAGCTTTGCTTTGGTATCTGAGTCTTGGATGTAGGATCTTGTCAAGGGAGGAATTGTATCTGGCTGGGATGGGCACCTCCGCTGCAGTCTCAGACTAGAAGGACCGGATAACTCTCTCAGAAGCCAGAAAGGGAAAGTCACCATTACTTTTCTTCTTCCTGCTTACTTGAGGTTAAGGAAATATCTTATAAAATAAACCTGGAGCCAAATTTTACATAGGAATAGGTTGATTAATATGCTTTTAAATACATCAGCTTATACATATACACAATACCAGGTCTTACAACAAGTCCTTTATTACCTGTGTCATGGAGGTGGAGGTGCTCCTCACTCTCTGAGAAGGGAGGAGTCCTGGGCCTGTGCTTCCGCTCTCTGCGTTCCCCATGCCCACTCTCCCTCCCATAAGCAGCCTCTGTGCAGTGAATCCCTGCTTTTGGAGAGGACTTTGGTGAAAGCCTGTCTTTGTGTCTGGAATGTTTTTCCCAATTCCTAGTCCGATGGCTACTGCTAGCCTCCTGGTCATCAGCTTCCGTGCTCAGAAACACTTCTCGGCTGATCTTGGGAAGAGGAGGCCTCCGGGGCCTCTCATGGCCAGACCTCTTCCTTTCACACAGCTCAGTGACAATTTGGGGATCATCCCTCACTTTGCATGAGCTAGAAGACAGAGACTTCTCAGATAAACGATGCTCTTCCAGTTCTTCCCAGTTCTCCGGTGGATGTCTGGGTTTCTCCCTCCTCTGCTTCACAGTCTTTTCATCACTTTGGTGTTTATAGGACCTTGAGAATCCAGAACCCAATTCCCTTGCCCTCCTTGACCGTGGCTGGTCTGAGTGGAGGCGGAGGAATGTGGAAACAGAAATGCAGGTTAACTTAATCAGATTATGAACTCACTGTACAGGTGAGACAGGATCCAAACCTAACCTGTTTTAAAATGGAGAGGACCACTTTTTCAATTTAACAAACTGAAAGTAGGGGATGGGCATCTATTGGAAGGATTCTGGGTATATAGCCAAAGAGGTAAAATAAATAAAGTAATTAATTAATTAAATCAAGTGGAATAAATCTGAAAGATCTTGATCATGATTAGGAAGAGTTAACAAAGTACTTTAATATTTGCCAAAAACTGAAATTATAGCCATTAAATGTTAAATTATACTTATAAAGCTAATTTGGAACTGTATATGGAGGGAATGGGGGTTGAGGAAATCTCATAAAACAGAAAAAAGTAAGCTGCGTGATTCCAGTCAGAGGCTTTCAAATATTCTTCTTGGAAATAACAATAAATCAAGATTAGAATGTTGATAGTTTCCATGTAGTTCAGAGAAATGATCCATGGACTTTAATAATCCTCTATCCTTTCCCCTTAGGTGGCCAAAGCAAACATTTCAAGACATACTGAGTTCAATGTGAAAGAGCATGAAGTAGAGGAGAATTTTAAGTGATTCAATGACCCGGTTATCTTTGGATAATTCTACTCCCAATCTTTCTTAAATCATGGCAGAAAAAAAATATTAAAAAGAGATGCCATCATGAAATACACAAAAAAATAATCATTTCCTAAATTCATTTTTAAAACTTAATGATTCTAATATCATTCATATAAAAATACAGTATGTGCTAAACATACAAGTCCGTAAGTTTAACACCATGTTTAAAAGCAGCAAAATAGGTGCTTTTGTTGGAGTACATTAATATGCACTTTGCAAGAGTGTATTTATTTTAACATTTTTCAAAACAATGATCCTAGTTCCATGAAAAATTGCAAAGAGAGCTGGAATTAGCCATTTGCTGAATTGTATTTGAAACAGCTACCCTAAGTTGACAGGCTATAAAGGAAATAAAGAACTATACATTTTTTAGTTTCTAGGTTTTATTGTGGTTTTTTTGTTTTTGTTTTTGTTTTTTGTGGGTTTTTGTTTTTTTTTTTTGCTTTTATTTTTTTGTTTTTTAGGTTTGTTATTGTTAATTTAATAAAGGAATAGGGGAAGGAAAGATATATGGTAAATGCATCATTGATGCCATAAGCTTTTCAAACATTTCAAACTACTTCTTGAACTTAAGAAGAAAATTTGTTTCAAAGATAACATCTAAATTAAGATGTTTTACGAAGTCAGTAAAAGTACTTACTTCAGAATTTATAGTTAAATTTATTTTTTACATAATAGCAAAAGTGAAACAGATCAATTACTCTGTAATTAAAAAAAAAAAAATAGTACCTTCTCTTTTAACCAAACACTTATTTTAAGTGTATCTTGACAACTGAGAAAGAACCAATTGACTATTGTTGTGAATTAATATACTACAGCTATTTGAATGATGACCACATCAGGGAACAATGATTGCAGTGTTAATACCAGTGTTTCCAAAGACAGCTGCATGAGTGAAGTCTGCCTTTAAGGCCAAAAGAAACAAGAAGGGCTTTGTTTTCAACATGGAGTTTTGAGGTTATGATTATTTTGTTGTTGGTGTTTTTAAGTTCTTTCTCAAACGTTAAATGATATTAGTAGTTTTACTAATTAGTAGGGAGATGTATTACAAGAAGAAAAGCCAAACAGTCACTACATTTTCAGAGTTGATGGGATAAAAATATTTATTGCTTAATTTGTTGTGACATCTTTAAATATGGGAAAGAAAAGAAAAAAAAGACAGGGGTTGAAGAATTTGGATCCTTTAAAAACCCATCCAATTAAGGACTAATATTTGTACATTTCTTAAGTTATTTGGCAAATATAATTAACTTCCTTATATCTAATATATACATATACATGCATATGTACATATATATATATATATATGTGTGTGTGTGTGTATATATACCTATTTTTTTTGGTGCCTCCATGTTTGTCTTTCAAAATAAGATGATGTTTATTTAGCTATAGAAATACTTTGTTATATATACTTAACAATACATATAAACAATAGTACTTGAGAAGAATATATTATAATCCCCATTTTACAAATTATAAAAAGGCTTAGAGATTATAATAGATAAATTCCTTAGATTGTATGACTCGAAAGACCAAAAACTTAAAAAATATCACTGATATACTTGCAATGCCACTAAGTAAATTGCTTTGAAAGAAAAACATGGATTCACAATAAGATATATCATTTCAGTTGCTATAAATCTGACAGATATTGGCATAATTATAAATTTGCATAAAATTTATAAATGATCATTTAAAAAGATTATTTTATTAAATTTTAAGTAAAAAAAGCTGAAAGCTTCTGTAATAATATACTGTGATTATGTAAGTAAAGCAAAAATCATATTACGCAAAGACAGAGAAGTACAATGAAAGAATTCTCTTATGTGTTGGGAAAGGACCACTGCAAAGAATATAAGGACCACTTTGTAAATACAAACTGAATTGTAATGTGATTTTTCTTATTTATATGTCTCTGGGTCTAACTCAGAGACATATAAATAATGATCACATGCTCAGCAACACATAATCTCTCAACAACAACACAATTGAAAACAAATTCCAACATTTACAAGCATATGCTAAGGAGGTCACTACTTCACATTCCCAATCCCCCCAAATGACATATATGCCACTCTATAAGTTTACAAAAGCACTTAAGGTACATATCAGATAGTGGTTTTTGTGGGGTTTTTGTTTGTTTGTTTTTTTAACTTTTAGATATCCCTGAAAATCCACTGAATTCTTAACATCTGATATGAATCAGGATGAGGACACTATGATTAAAACAACCAGGTTTGAGTGCAATTCAAGTTAGTATAAGGTTTTAAAAGAGAGACTAAAATTAATATTTTAGTACTCTCATTGCCATCTTATTTTTCTAGACTTAAAAGTTTAAAGTAGTTATTTTTATTTGCAGTACACATGCCTCCAGAGTAGAATTAAAAGTAAAAACAAAATAAAAACACATTCCTAAGATTTTAATTAAGTCTAAAGAGTAACTCTTTACCTTCTGGTCTCTAGTATAGCACAACATGGGCCATAATGTTTCTTTTTAAATGATGTACTACATGTCTGCATTAGAAAAATCAGCGTAAAAAAAAATAGGTATCCTAAAAGAGCTGGGCACTTTACATATGGAAGAAGAACACAGCAAGCAATAAATGGAGAATCAACCTGCTTACTAATTACACCATAGGGCTGGGCTCTACTGATTATGATCACTCTGGAGGAACAATGTAACTGAGCAAGATGCACCTAAACTGTGATAATTCCATCATCTGCAAATACATTCCTTTCATCCTACGCATCAAAAACAAACACTCACTTACCTTTCTTAATGAAATTATAGAGAAGCAACTGATAGTTTGCAAGGGTATTTAAAACCATCAAACTTAAATTTTTACTCCTAGAAGCAGCCTTTAGATTTTATTATTTGTTATCCTAAGTACGGCCTCTAAGCTGAACTACAATAAACACTCATACTAGAAGCTATAGGAAATAATCTTCCTTTGACAAATCTTTAAAAAGGACTGAGCAATAACCTACAAATACTCGTTTCCCAACACACTGAGGGTGAAGAGCCACCACCACCGAAATTGTCCACCACCATACTGCAAACACAGGCACTAGAAAGAGAAACTTTGAAGGAACTTCCTTCCCCCAGAAAGTTTTCTATGTGGTAATCAAATAGCAAAGCAAGCATCAAAAGCAAAAGAATGCTCAGAGAATCATAAATTTTAATTTGTCACCATTGGCTTATCTTTAAAAGACAGGAGAAATGGGGGAAAAAAGCTTTGAATCTAAGGATAGAGTAGGTCATGATTGTAGGCAATGTTACCTCCATCTTCATAATAGTAACTTTCTCCATAAGCATTCCCTCCAGAGGATTCTGGGAAGTGTTTCTTTCGCTTTTTCTCTTCCTGTAACTCCTTTTCTTGCAGAAGGCGAGCTATGTCCTGCAAATACAGAGAACGAAAATAAATATCAGCAAAGCATGAACGAACTCCATACAATGACTCCATAGGTCAATGATTCCACACTCCACTGCTAAGCTTTTGTAGGTGGGCTCGGTCTATGGCTCTGCAGACTTTCTGGTGTTAAACGTAAGCGATTTAAATAGCGCAGATGAATGCTCAATAGCAGAGACACAAGATCTAGATAACAGAGAAAAGTATTTTTTTTAATTAAAATTTAAACTTAATCTGAAGGTATTCAAAGCGAGTAAACAAAAGTTGGCTATACAACACAAATTCATATTTGTGAGCCCTTTTCCCAAGACAATGATTCAGCAAGTCTGGGTGGGGAAGGACGTAGTAATCTATAAAACGTTATCAGCCGTGTTTAGAGTTTTTGGCTGATCCTAACTGAGCTCTGCATTAGAGTAGCGCGGCCTAACTGAAGAAGAGACACAGTCTTCCTCCTGCCTCCCCTCATTTCGTCTCCAGGCGAGACTTAACGCAATTACTGGATGATGAGCAACATTCCACCCCTGCCCCCAAAACATTGCCATCTCCCTAAAAAAAGAAAGGTTTATACAAATAATTACAAAACAAGTCAATTATAAAACATCGAGAGAATAAAAATGTCTATAGGACTATAAAAAAGGGAATATTAGTTCTCCTTAAAGCAGTGGTTCTCAACCATTTTAATGCCGTGACCCTTTAACACAGTTCCTCATGTTGTGGTGACCTCCAACCATAAAATTTATTTTTGTTGCTACTTCATAACTGCAATTTTGCTACTGTTAATGAATCATAATGTAAATATCTGTTTTCTGATAGTCTTAGGCTCTATAGCAGCGGTTCTCAACCTGTGGGTCGCTAGCAGGGTCGCCTAAGACCATCAGAAAACACAGATATTTACATTATGATTCATAACAGTAGCAAAATTACAGTTATGAAGTAGCAATGAAAATAATTTTATGGTTGGGGGTCACCACACATGAAGAACTGTATTAAAGGGTCGAGGCCTTAAAAAGGTTGAGAACCACTGCCTTAAAGGAATTATGCAAGTCTTTGCATCTGTGTTTAGTTTTGAACAAAGATCTGGATTCCAATAGGCAAAGTAAAAAGAGAAAGCATTATCAGAAAAATTATAAATGTCTTAATGGATATTATTCTACAGAATGATCAATAGTCCAATTAGAATGTGAACTGTTGCAGAGAAAGGTAAGGCTAGAAAAAAAAAGTATGAGGCTGAATCACAGGTATTCCTTGCAGACAATCTTTAGAAATCTGAAGTAGATAGCAGAATAAATGAAGGGTTACTAAATGTTTTGAGCTTACAAGTGACAGTGTTTTGAATCTGAAGACTATTTCTAGGAAAGCCCTATAAAATAACCCATAAAATTTGTGAACACTTTTTTGAAGAAAAGGTCCATAGCTGTCACCAGACTCTGAAAGGCTCATACAAATAGTAATAATAATGGTAGTTTGAGGTGTTTATTTCTTTGTATTTATAAGAAGAAATACAAACGTGTCTAAACTTTAGTGTAAATTTTGAAGAATCAATTACTATTCCTCCTTTTGCAATTTTCTGAGAATGTCAAAATGAAGAATATGGAAAAACTGGAAGACCTAAAAACATTCTATCTAAATAATTTTGTTCACACATCAGTGTAGAAGTAAGTTGGATGCTGAGGCTAGATAAATTAGCAATGATTATCCGATACTCAATATTTAACATTTGCCAAAATAGGCTTACAAATCCGACTTTATATTAAATAATGCCTAAATTCAAAGTTATAAATACACTGTTAACATATTGCCTTTGAGTGCTACCTACACTGGAAGATTCTCATAAATCTATATAAAAGTCCATGTTATAGTGTAAGACACTTGAGTGTGTACTCACAAAATGTTGCTACTCAGAATGAGGTAAAAACAGAATCCTACTTACACATAATTTTCATGCAAAGATATCTTTATTTCTAACACTTTGATGGAAAATGCTCCCTAAGTCTCAAAGTTAAGATGATTTCCTTTTTCCTTCCATTTCAAGCCAGAGATGTTCTAGAGACACTATGAAAGTAATACTCACTACTAATAAGAGTTTCTTTGGGCTTCAAGTCTTTATCTATACAATGAAGAGTTTGAACTATTCAATCTTAAAGTCAAATATCTTGACTCCTTTAGGTATCATTTTAATAATTTTCTGAGTATTACCAGGTACCAGTTGCCGTGCCAGGTTTATTACATTTGGTGCCTTACAAAGCAGTATATCAATCAGGACTATAGAATGGTGTGACAAACAAAATTAATATCTGTTATAGAATTTCCAAAATTACTATACTTTTTGTTTCAGAAGTAGGGAAAAGTGCTAGCAATTTCCTAAGTCGTCATGTTTATTAAGCACCCAACACTACATTTTCCTAAGTGGTTTACTTTACAGAAAACAAAAAATTTCCCTTGCTATAAATGAGTAAAAAATATAAAGAATAATTATCAGAACCAAATAATTATTAAACTACACTCAACAGACACCTTATAATTGCTTTCCTACTACAGAACTTAGTCCTAATAAATATATAGCAATAAGCTGCTTTCTCTGTGAAAACCCAGGAGAGAAACAAGGATGATGCCCCTTTATTAGGTAGGCAAAAGAAGTGATGTTAATCAAGTAGAAAAAAGTAATCATAATGTGTTATGCACCTTAGCACCCACACCTTTTCATTTTTGAAGCTCTCAGCTCTCTGAGTAAGATTCTATCCGGTAAGAACAAAGATTACTTAGCTTGAGCAGTGAAAGAATAAAAGTCAATGGAAAATAACTACTTTAATATAACGGTGATTTAGCTTACGTCAATTCTCCCCGCTGCTTTCCAACATTATTACTGTGCAATGAGTTCAACTGGGTGATTTAAAAAAAAAAAAAAATTTTTCCCCTGAAGCAGCTTACAATGGCAACTATTAGTCACAATGCTTGGATGCAGCTTAGTCACCCTGGACATTAATAACCTCCTTGGTCTTCAGCTTCTTCCTGTTAAAGGTTAATCCAGAACAGGATTTCCCAAGCTCTATTCTAAAAAACCGAGGACTTAAAAGGTTCTCCTAAAAAAATTCAAAGCATTCCATGGAAAGCAATTATTATAGCTAACTCTTTAAAATGAGCATTAAAACCTAACCAGTTTGGCTCAGTAGATAGAGTGTCAGCCTGTGGACTGAAGGGTCCCAGGTTCAGTTCCAATCAAGGGCATGTACCTTGATTGCAGGCACATCTCCAGTGGGCACATAATGCAGAATGCAGCTGATCAATGTTTCTTTCTCTCTCATCAATGTTTCTAACTCTCTATCCCTCTCCTTTCCTCTCTGTAAAAAAAATCAATGAAATATATATATTTTTAAAAGAACCATGTTTAAAAAAAAATTAGGATATTTTAAAACTTTGATGAAAGACACATATTATCTTCCTATAATTTATGAATTTCTAAATTTAATTTACTTGGGGAAGAAACCTTTTTTTTTTTTTTTTACATAAAAATATAAACCTTATAGAATTCGTGTTCCATAAAACAACTTGGAAAAAAAAAAAAAAGGCTAAAATAACTCAGAAGCCCTTCTGAAGTAATTTTCCATGATTTTTTTAAATTATCTTTTTTGCTTGAAAGGATTACTTTCCCCCATTGATCCCCTCCAACTCTTCCCTAGGCCTTCACGTCAACCCTTCTACCCCCTGGCACCTTCCCTCCGAGATTCAACAGTTTGCTCCATGCTTCTATGTCTCTGGGTCATGCTTCTATGTCTCAGTTTATTTTTTAATTAATCATATTCATCAGCAGGTAGATTTACTTTGGACTAATACATACAGAATAACTGTGATATAGAAGTCTTTCTGGCCAAGCCATTTATTGGAATGACAATTTACTATTATATCTCATCTCTCCCTTTTTTATTATCCAAGTCACCCAACTGGAAAATCTGAAGCTATGAGCATAAGAAAGGGCACAGTAAAAAATCTCTAGAATGTTAAGGAAAGTCATTTTAATGAAAACAAAGATTTGCTGAACACTTTCACTGGGTCAAACATGGTTGAAGCCTGAAAAACAAGACATAGTCACTATCATGAAAATCCTTATCTATCAAAGATTAGAAGCAAATCCTATTTAATAAAAGAGTAATATGCAGATTGACCATCACTCCAACACATAAGATCAAGATAGCTGCCCCCATGTGGTCAAAGATCCTGCTTCCATGTGGAAACAAAATGGCCACTACAAGATGGCCAACAGGAGAGGGTAGTTGGGAGGGACCAAGCTTGCAAGGGAGAGCAGTTGGGGGCGATCAAGCCTGCAGGGGAGGGCAGTTAGGTAGGGGTAACCAAGCCAGTAGTGGAGGGAAGTTGGGGGCAAACAGGCTGGCAGGGGAGCAGTTAGACATCAATCAGGCTGGCATGGGAGTGGGTAAGGGTGATCAGGCAAGTAGGCAGAAGTAGCTAGGGGCAATCAGGAAAGCAGGCAGGTGAGCAGTTGGGAGCCAGCAGTCCTGGGTTGTGAGAGGGATGTCCCTTGAAGGGTCCCAGATTGGAGAGGGTGCAGGCTGGGCTGAGGGAACACCCCCCACTCCTGGTGCAAAAATTGCATGCACCAGGTCTCTAGTAATTACAATGTAAGATGTACAAAGATCAGTGCCCCAAGAGAGCCATTAATTCAAGCAAGTTGTATTGGAGCCCACAGGAGCCTGGCACATTTTTCTCAAACAGTTGACAAATTACTGAACCACGGTGTTGGATTCCTTAAGTATTTTTATGGTTTATGTGATTTCATATCAGGGTTATTTTTCCCTGGGAAATCTTGGGTATAACAACAACCTAAAAGGGATCTAAAGTAGTAACAATCAAATGACTGGCAGAAAGAAGAAAAAAAAAAAAGAAAGCCATTCCATTAGATTGCTAAATTTTTTACCAACTAGCAATAACTTTAACTTCTAACTCCATAAGGACCTCATAGTAGGTATAATCCT